TATGGTTCGGGTACGGTGACGTCAGGAGGGCCGTATCAAACCCTAAAGCAATTTTTGCGTTTTGTAAAAAACGGAAAAAAATTGAATTTTTGAAATTTTCTCCCTCAGTCCTCTACTGCTCGTAGAGGGTCCCGTGGTCTTAACCTGATAAAGCATGATCAGACGTTTCCTTTTCCCGTCTGGGAAAACATCATTTGGACATCAGGTTCAGTTTCTATGGCTGTTTTTAAAAAAACACGAAAAAGTAAAATTGTCAAATTTTCAACGTCGATGCGCGAGGGTCAAGCTTTAGTCACAGACCGGGCCCAGATCGCTTTGAGTTTGTATTGCCATGAAGTAACTTTGGCGCGCTATTACGTTTGCGATATCGAAAAATCGTGTTTTTACGGCCCCCCTAGTGGACATCTTGGAAGTGTATTGAAGAAAATTTGGTCGCTTGTTTGAGCCGAAATACAGGACATTTCTAAAAAGTGATCCATGATTGGTAACCTTGCCCTAATATAAAAGCCCAAAAAGGCACATTTTTCAAAATGCGCATGGAATGGATCTGTCTCACCCGTTTAAAAAAGATCGTGCCGAGAATGTGTCGAAATGATGTCGAAATCAGGGGCGGACTGGGACCCAAAGGGCCCCGAGCGGGAAATTCATCGGACGGCCCCTACCCACAAGCCCCCCCCCCCCCCCTCCCCGGCCGGTTTTCCCCCTGTTTTCATGCCAAAGCAGCGTTCTGCTGAGAGGTGGTTTGGATGTGCCCCTTATTTTGGTATACATTTTTTAAATATGTAATTTAAGGGCATAAAGAGAGAGATCACACATTACAATGGTACATATTGCATATTAACCCACCCTCGCTCAGCACAGTATAATAGAGGTCCGAAAATGCAAAAAAAAAGAATTTTCTGTGCTTAAACTACTTTTTCACAGATGTAGCGATAAAAATGAAGTTTCACGAAATGTGAGGTAAAGGGGGCAGCTTAAACCTTACCAAAGTTACAAAACACGGCCTTTTTTTCGGACTAGTTCGAGTTAATTTCCTTCAAATATGGATTTGGGCGGCCCAACTCTTTTCGGCACAGTTTAGAGTATTCTGTACAAAATGAGACCTCTCCGGGCCGGCCTGTTTACGGTGGGGAAAAGAAAGATATGTGCTTTCAAAGATAAAAAGACAACAAAAACGGTACAGCATGTTTTTTTTTCGTCTAAATTCAATTAGGAAGTTGAATTTTTGATTTGTTGAAATTGTTTTGCCGTTTTTCGATCCATTGGCACTATATCATCAGTTCCAGGTCGGACAACGGCTCAAAACGAAAGTTTTGAAAAGAATTTTACAATATTCAAAGTTTGCCGAAAACATAGGCCTACTGAAACTATTCGAATGAAAAGTCGTCTTTTGATCTTGTCTACATTTCCTCCGTTCTGCAGGTCGGAGAGGTCTCTTTTTGTAGAGAATACTCCAAACAAAAGTGTCAACAAAAGCTCTTATGAGCTTCACTGAGAATGAATGGGTCACCACCATCACCCTTTACATGGGTGATGCAACTTCGTTGCTCAATTTTGAGTGACGAAAAATTCATCACCCGAAATTTGGTAACAGGCGTTTGGTCGCCCAAATTTGGGTAACGCCGCACGGTGATGCAAAACCGAAAAAAGTCGCGCAAAATTATAGAGTGCCCTGATCACTGACAATTTTCAGGCTGTGGGGTTTTGAGGGTCGCTGACCTCATTCCTGAAGAAATTCAACGTATGCGACCACCACAGGGGCAGATCTAGGACTGTTTAGGGGGGTAACACTGTAACGCTGCGCTTGATCACTGCCAAATTTTGTGCAAAGATGTTTTAAGAGTCGCTGACATTATTTCTGAAAGGATGGAACGTGTGTGACCACCACAGGGGCGGAGCTATAGTAGTTTAGGGGTAACATTGTTACGCTGTGCTTTATCACTACCAAGTTTTGTGAAAAGAAGTTTTTAGGGTTGCTGACTTCTTTTCTGAAGAGATTGAACGTGTACAACCGCCACAGGGTAGGAACTTAAGCTGGAACTTAAGGGGAAACGATTATGGTTAAGTTTGGGAAATGGAAGTTGACCAGTCATTTGTGACAATGCCGCGACGTTTGAGTCGATTTTTTCGAAAAGCGCAACTTTTCGCAACCTGACACTATATAGACCTTAAAGTTGGCCCCAGGTACTACCATGTGGCTGTGACTGACTGGTTCGCAAGTGTTCGCAACTTGACTTATTCCACTTCAAAATCAACAAAAATGACAAATTTGGCTATTATTTTACAGCGAATATGTAGTGACCGAGAGCTTTGCCGTTAATTGTAGCAATTGTAGCGAATGTCTTGAACTCTCAGCTTTCCAAAAACACACAACATGTTACACTTTGTTCTGCAGATGCCGCCACAACGAACAGTTTTCGCACCGCATGTCGCTCTATTTGGTTTTTGCATCAAATTGCTCTCTTTCAGCGCCATAAAAAGATAGGCCTACCCATATTGTGGCACAAAAGAGTTCCGTCACCATGTAGTTCGATCTTTTCTGCGCTCAAAAACGTCAGTCCCTTAAGGGATGGACCAAATCAACGAAAAGTGCTTTTTGCGCGACTTTTTACCGTTTTGCATCACTGTGCGCCGTCGACGACGCCGTGAGGTCCGCGATAGACGTCCCCGGGGCACCACGTTGACCAGAGGCCTCAACGCCACATTGGGGCATCGTGGTGGCCCCGGAAGAGCGTCATCGGGGACCTCAGCCCGTCGCCGACGACGTTACCCAAATTTGGGCGACGATTTTATGACTGCCCAAAATTTGGTCACCGTGGCCTCGTCACCCAAGGGCTACGATGCGTGCATTACCCAATGAAAGGGCGATGGTGGTGACTCTTTCATTCTCAGTGTTGGCTGCCCAAACTCATAATTGCTGGAATTAAACTCTAACAGTCGAAAAAAGCGTGTTTTGTCTGAGGTGGCTGCCGACCTTTACTCCCTTAACCCCAAATCTTCAAAAACTTCATTTTGCATTCTTTTAAATTGATAACAGTGGTTTGAGAACTAAGTCTTTTTTTCTCGCACTTTCTCGGCCTGTTTTTACACTGTGCCGCTGTCTTTACACCCTCCCAAGTGAGGCTGAAGCTAACGGCCGTGGCCCGAGCTGTTGACTAATTCCTCTGAGGAGCGAAAGCCCACTCGGAGAGACCGATGGCCTGTCATAGTGCACAGTGCGGAACCGGAATCACTCTCAGGACACGCAGGCCGAGACGCAGGCAGCCCGCGGCATGCCCTTCTCGTGCCCACGGCCGACCCGACCCTGCAGCCCTGCTTTGGCCCGCGGCGGCCCACGGCGCACAGTGGGCCACGAAGCCAGTTTAGACGGACATAATTCCATTTTTTCAACTCTCAAATCTTTAAGCTTTTTTTCATGACGTCTCTTCCCAATACTCCAAGGAACCAGGATTGGACAGAATTTCAACATTCGGACACGTTTTAGCC